TTCTTTGTCGATCAAGGATTTTTATCTCTTCTTATGAAGAGATTGCGATTCTTTGCTACGAAAAAAAAATGCAGAGATAGAGATTCCAAAGGTAAAAATCGGAATGCCCTTTCAAAATACAAGACGCTTGATAGTTCTGAAAATTAGTATCACTGGCGAAAATCAAGAAAATACGGGTGATTCAGCAAACGTCATAAAAAGGCTACAAAGTCGTTATTAACAAGAACTCAGAAATGTTATTTTCACGTTTTAAATAGGATAACCTATCTGGAAAAAACTATTCTCCATAAATATGAATATTTCTTGCCAACTTTTTTTTCATCCTTGGTAAAGTCCACTGCACGAAATTGCCCATATTCTTGTAAGCTGAACGCACGCGAGCGTGCTCGCAACGCGGCTGCCGAGTAAAAGCGCTATGATGCGCGCGAATGCTAATATTAGCCCGCTAGAGACACACGCTTACGTTCAGCCTGGGCAATTGCGAGAAGTCAACTATGACCAATTTGAAACAATATGCAGAAATAGCTATTTAGGCGCAAACTGACTTTGCTTAATGTTAATTTCGCTCGACAAGCACACCAAAACGTCCTATATTTAGAACTCTCTCAGATTCTCTGCCTTCATCAAACTTCCTTCCTTGTTCTTCTTTCTCTGCAAAAACATTATCTAGATTGCTTCTATTTTCGGCACATAGCGTGTTCGATAAGAACTTTGCATTGCAGCTGTACATATATTTAGGCTCGGGCGCTTTTTATGCGCGCTTGCGTGACCTGGAATTGGACGCCGCGGCTCTCGATGGCGCTTGTCTTGCAGCCGCAGCGGCTTGGTTATGTTAGCAGGCGGTGGTGTGCGCTTTTACGCTGGCGCTTCTTTCGTTTTTTTTACGGGAATCGATAAACTCTCATCGTGGACATCGGGGTGGGGGGGGGGGTGGGGAGGTGTATGTCGCCGTAAGCTAGTAGTAACGGCTGAGACAAGCGCTTCTTTTCTGGCTGATTGAGTAGTGACCGGAGGTCGCCGCTGACACTTCGAATCGCCCTCAGATGCTTTTTTACGAGCGCGTCGCGGCCGCGGCGGCTAGCGGCGGCAGCCGCTCTCCCGCGTCGCCCCACCTTTTGCGCTCCACCCGTTCCCACCAACCGGCTGCTACTACTTTTTTCCACCCGGCCACACAACCAACTTCACCCGTTTTTTCCCCCAGCTGGAACAGAACTCCTAATGAGCCCCGTTGGGGCACTTTGCCCTTCGCTCTCTCGCTTTGTTTCCTTCTTTAGCCGCGGCGCTGAGGAACTTGCAAACGACGCAGTGTCCAGAAGTGGTGCTCGATAGAACGTCTTTGACATCTTTTTTCTTTTCTTCTTGTCGCTGCGGAAGAGATAATGAAGCTTTAGCGTCCATCTCACCGATAGCGTTTCCTAGCTGTACAATTTTGGTCTCCTCTTATTAGAGATGTAGTATTGCCAAAAATATCTCTACAATGGATGAATTTACCTAAGTGAACTGCCTTGGTGTGGGGAGAGCTTCCTCGCTAGCCAAGTATGTAAGTCACCATCGAATAAGGATTTTTGGACTGTTCGCTATCTACATCAAAATATTCCAGACTGTATTTTTTATTTTTCATGTAAATGATTTTTGGACTGTATTCCAGACTGTATTTTTTATTTTTCATGTAAATGATGTAGATAGCGAACAGTCCAAAAATTCTTATTCGATGGTGACTTACATACTTGGCTAGCGAGGAAGCTCTCCCCAGACTGTATTTTTTATTTTTCATCGGCCATAAAATTTTTGCACAGTCTCTGATAAGGTAACATTCCTTACCTAAAAAAAGTAGCGCTTCGATGTTGTTCAGTTATCTGTTTGTTCCTTCTATTGTCTTGTTTTCTCACCTATGATTAATCATTTATATGAGTTTTTTGAATATTTAGCCACCATAAGTATATTATATACTTTGGTTCTCCGTATATAGTTCAGGTTCAAAGCTGTGAAGGCAAACCACATTGTTTGCATTGGTCGTGACCACGACCTGTTGATCGGTTCACTCATCGTTTTTTATGTGAGCCCCGACAGTGAAATTGCTTGTTTTGATTGTTCCTTTTGTTTTCTTCCTCACTCTAAAATTTTATTACTTTCTCTAAAGTCATCCTACTGTACAAAAACTGTGCTAAGAACAGGTGTGATCTTTTTGTGAGGTGGGTTTCCAATTACTTCTGGGTTATTTGGGGCTTTTTTTCTAAAAAAATGGATCAAAGAGATTCGCTGACCTTTTGTTGAAACGATTTAGCCTTATCAAAATATTAAGAGAAAATTAGTATCTTATTTGGCTAATATCTCTTTTGCCTTCGAATAAAAGCAATCGGTGCTGGCTGGTCCCCAATATCTCTTGTCGAGATCACCTTACCTGACTTTTTCAGTGTTATTATAATCAATTTGGATGGTGTTGCCTCTGCAATAATTTTGCGTGATATACAGGGTGTCCCAAAATAATGTGCACACTATTTGATTTTGAATAACTCTCTTATTATGGAGTCTTTCGAGAAGCGGCAAGCGCCATTTTGTAGAGCTGGCTTCAACTTAGATTTACAGTATAGAGCGAATCACTGACCGCTCTTCATTACTGTAGGATTACGGTAGAAACTAGAAAGAGGGTTTTGGGCCATGAAAGGTCATATTTTGCCTCAAAAAGGAATCAAAACAGTCTGAAAGCTTTTACACTAGCCCAATTAAAGTTGCTGATTATAACTGTAAAATTCCCAACTTATTATGATGCTTCACTGAAGAGTTATGCGAGGTAAGCAGTAGCGGCCATTCTCTCAATGTTCCTAAAAAGTGCGGTTACACCGTTTAAAAAGCTTTGCAATCTTGAGAATAGTTGAGTATTGAACTCAGCGTCTATAAAATCCTATTATACAAGATTTCACATTTTTTTGAAAATTTTTGAGACGGCAGCTTTTTCCACAGTGAAACCATATGTTCCAAGTTTCTACCGTAATCCTACAGTAATGGAGAGCGGTCAGTGATTCGCTCTATACTGTAAATCTAAGTTGAAGCCAGCTCTAAAAAATGGCGCTTGCCGCTTCTCGAAAGACCCCATAATAAGAGAGTCATTCAAGATCAAACAGTGTGCACATTATTTTGGGACACCCTGTATGGCCATAGGCACGAAATATTGCAACTGTGCGTCCCAACATTTTTTACGCGCAAATGTTGTCAGCACCGTATAGGCACTATATCAACCAGCAAAGCTGCTAAAGTAGATTTATCTATTAGGGATGCTATAACGTCCAGCTTTGTCCAGCAGTATCATCTTTGCTCTCTGTTCCAAACTCCCATTAGGCGTCACTTAGGATTAGGCGCGAGGCGCCTGAGGTGTGACAGGAACTCGCCTGGAATAACTAATGATAGTTCGATACGCTCGTTCCCAGTAGCGCAATCTTTTTATGCTCCATTTTGGACGCGGCTATAAAATCGTAGTTTCATCGTCGGGGCTTTAATCCCGACAGAGTTTCGTCTGACATTTGAAACGATTTGAATATGCAAGTCTTGAGTGTTTCGTTTCGGATTATTGCGCATGTCAATCAGCATTGTAAATCGGCCGTCACTTTTTTACGTTTCTGCTTTGCACTCGCGTCTTCTTCACTCGACGCTTTTATGTTGTTATCAATAGGAAAGATTAGTATCGTGGGACGTGTGATGGGCCGCTGAACGAAGATTGCGGCTGAAAAGTGCAATGTTGTTTTCATTTTCAAGCGTTGTTTTCCTGCAAAGAAGAAGAGGTGTTTGCAGACAGATTGTTAGCAAATACGAAGAGCGTTGAAGTGCTCGGCGTCGTCGTACGTCGTGCTTTTTGCATGGATGTTTGCCAAGTCTGTCGTTTTAGCGTTATAGCGACTAGCCTTCAGTATATCGTGGTTGTCGTTTCAAAACTTGCATGCATTCTAGCATAGAGAGGGAGAGAGAGAGCTTTTCAAAATCTGAGGCTTTTCGCAGCTCGCTTTCTTGTGTTTAGAGGCGAGCCGCCGCTGCAGAAAATACACAAACTGCGACCAGTATATCGCGGGACTGCTCTCTTGTTATCATTCGTCCACGTTTTCATGCAAGTCATAGCCACCAGTCCAGGCGCCGCTCTGTCGAAACAGCTTTCGCATATTTTGAATGTATAATTATCATTCAGTATTTTTTTAATCTGTGCATTTGCACATTTTCCAAGCCGTGCTGACCATGAAGCATAGATTTGGTTTTTCTTGCGCTTTGTCTTCATTTTCATTGCTACACAATCATTTCGAGGAAGCTGATTGATCACTTTTTCGGCACTTCTGTCCCGAGGAAATTGCGCCTCATCGTTAACATGCTCGTTGTGCATTTGCCCCACGAACGAGCGAACTGCTATTTGTGCTCTTTTGTATGAACTCCGGTACGTTCAGTATTCACCGTCTTTTTTTCCTTTTTTTCATTTTTAAGTTATCAAAATTCCTTTTTTTTTCGAAAACGCGCTGTAGTAAGAATGTCTACGATGGCGACGCTTTTGAGTCGAGATGCTTGATGCATCAGCCGTATTGGGGCATGTTTTGGAATGTTATCAGCTTATTCACACTATTCTGGCTGTTGTACTTGCGAATCGCGACTCATAGGCGTCAGCTAACGCGCCGCGGCCAAGCAACTTTTCTGCCTTGCAGCGTTTTCTGTTTATCGCAGCCTAACGCTAGTTCCAAATTGCATCTTTTAGGGGTAGAGGAACGAACGCCTCAATTAGGCATCGCCTCCGCGGGCTGCTGGTCCTTTCTTCCTGCTGTTATGCATTGTGTTGGGACCAGTGGTCCGCGGAGGCGGTGCCTAATTGAGGTGTTCGTTCCTCCACCCTCTTTTAGTATTGTACATTTTTGGCAAAGGATATATTTTCAAGTTTTAGACGGGTTCACTCCTATGGCGGATTTTCTAACAGTCGTAACAGCTGAGGTTTTTTTAATATCCATGCTCTAGTAAGAATTCATTCAGTCTTCATGGACATTGCCGCATCGCTGCTCATTCATCGCATTGATTGTTTGCTATTCAATGAAGGTGTGCTGAAGCGATGCACCGAAGTGCTCCATGGATTGCTTTGCAAACGCTTCAGGAGGTGCTAGGTACGAGATGAATATCAATCCGGGAACGTTTCGGTTTTTTGCTTGGGCCGTTGCACTGGCAACCAGCCGCATCTTCACATTCTACTACTTTTCAGCGGTTGTTTGAGGCCAGTTCCACATAACGAGCAAATTCTTCTAATTGAACCGGTCCATAGCGTTGGTTACTGGGTCGATGTGAACATTCTGGAATGTGTACAGCTTCATTTCATACCGCTGTACTAAAAGCTACCACGTTCCGCCTGCTGTTGGCTTGCCATTATTCAAATTTAATCTGTTCCCTGTGTATTGAAATTATTTCGATGGGAAAGCGAAATGTAGCCGCCGCAAAAAAATTGAAAATCAAATGTAGTGGCGTTCGCATTTCAATAAGATTGTTGTTCGGATTATCAAACGACCACTACACGCTTCTCAGTTGTTTGCAAAACTTCTTAGTTCATTTCTACATAACATTCGGCTACTGAAAATTAGTACTTGTTTTCGCGTTCCGACAGTCGCGCGAAAGACCAAAATTGTGACGATTAACATTGAATAAAGAATGCACCTTAGGTCCCGACCAGACTTCGCTCAAAAGCGCTCAAAAGCGCCCAAAAGTGCCCAAATTTTTCTAATGTCTCCGCTTTTTCGTGTGTTCAGAGATGAGAGAATTAGAAAAATTTGGACGCTTTTGGGCGCTTGAGCGCTTTTAAGCGTTTTGACCGAAATCTGACCGGAGCCCTATGCTTGCTTTTGATACCAGTTATGACATTAGAGCTGCGCGAAACTGACTGCGGCTATACTTACGTGGATCCGGATCCGATCGGACTCGCTAAACTGCGCGCGCAAAAGTTGGGGACATAAGTATTGTGACTTGTAAGAACCATAGTGGTTTTTGAGTGAAAGATAGTAATCCGAATTTTGACCTGTGTTTATCGATTCTTCTGTCGGGTATTTAGCTAACGAGGCGGGCAGGAGAGATAAGTGTGAGCGTAGTCTGGTGGTGCTTTTTCATTCAAGAATAAATATAAATGGAAAGGTGAATTATGGAAATGCATGCGCTTAAGCTGCGCTTCTACATTTTTTGCACATTCTATGTTTAGCGAATAATTTTCGACATAAAATGGTTGTTTCTTTGAAGGGTAGTATCAAATATGTCGATAATCGTAATTGAAGCAAAAGTTGATAGAGGAGCAGTGTCCTGTCACTACAAATTTCTGTTTCATTCAGTCTTATGATTTTTATTGACATCACATTAAGTCTGATCAAATGAAATAGTACGTCTGTGGAAATACTGCTGTCTACACATCCAAACTAACTAACGTTTATGAACAGATTTGATGTACTATGTATTGAGTGTCTAACGCACGTTTTAACATGTTCTGTTCATCTCTTGTTTCCTTAGGCACGCGTCATACTCGATCTGCTTGATCCGCTTCATCCACTTCGCTATTGGTCAAATAAGCAAACTGACCAATAACGAAATGGATGAAGTGGATCAAGCGGATCAAGTATGGCGCCTACCTTAGCAATGATCTAAGAAATCGATGAGTAGTAGATTGCGTTTCCAACAACACTTGCGCATAAAATTTGGCCTTAGTGCGCAAAACCTGAGATTCGCGCTCAGTGGTTTTTTACGGGTAAGCTGTCGGCACCGCAGGGACGCTATAGCACTCAAAACAACTGCACTATGGACTGCTCCGGGGCCACCCTGATTTGCTGAGAAACGGTGATAATTAATGTTATTTGATAGCACTGTGCGGTGGGTTTTCAACGGATAAAACTTGATTATAACAAAGTCCAACATTCATGATTGAATCGGACAGTATAAGGGTTGATGACATTAGTACTCAATACTATGAACTACGTGTTTTCTAGTCCAATTTACCATCTCGATTAGTGTCGCTACTGTCAATGTCGTTTCAAATTAGAGCGTAAGCTTCATCGTTGTTTGTTTTTGTTTGTGTGAGAAATGACGACGTGCATTGGCTGCAGACAACGGACTGGACGAGTCGCGTGAGAGAGCGTATCAGTCAGAATCGGCTTGCAGGCTGGTACGTTGCCAAATGCTTTGTTACTTCTGCAATTTGTATTTTTCTTTGGTTTTTATGATTTTGATGAGTTTTGGATACATTATTACTCCTTCCATTTTGGTTTGATGGCATCCTTTTTTTCTGATTTGACATTTTGAGAAAAAATTTTCTTCTGCTACTTCATTTTGTCCGAAATAATCACTTCTCTGATCGATTTTATTCTTTTGTCTTCCCATCATAGCAATTTACTCAATCTCCTGCAGAGCATAGAATACGTCGAGGATCTTTATCATTGCCTTTGTGATTACTTTCATAACAACCTTCTGTTCTGAGCATGCAAGAGCAATCAGTAATCTTTAATCTCTTTCCCACAGAAAACAACATCATCAGCTCTGCAGAACCATTATTATACTTCTTCTCACGCTGGTACAGGTCCCTCGGTATAATCACTGTTTCGATACGGATTTCAGACCCATTCATAAATAGCACAAGTTCTCTACCGGATCCGCTCCTTTTTGCTTGTAAGATTAGAAATCGTAAGAATTCCAGCGGTGTTCCACTGAAGCCGGTCAAGCGCACGGTTGCTATGTTCACATTATATCCAGTTATGCTTTTCTCGCTTTGGCGTTTGCTACAGTATCCTACATCATTCAATTGTCTCGAAGTAACAATCAATCGTCTGATACAGTTCTTTCTTCGTTTAAAACAGTTCTCATCGAATCATAGATGCTCCGCCAGTTTTTCCCTGCTGACCTTTTTTCATTTCGATGGAGATAGCCTGGCATCAGTTCTCGTTCTCGTAAAGATTCCTTTGTAGTGCATTTCAAATTGCTACACTTTCATCGCTCCCATCGGCTATAGTAGAGGCTTTTTTCTTGACCACGATGAATGTTTAAATTTACAGTATGCTATAATTCTGAGCTGTGCAGCTGGCAAGTTAGAAAAACGATCGAAACGTCATTGGTGTTGCTAGGGAGAGAAAACGTGGTGAGTTGATTTCCCTGCTTTCTTTCTTTTATCAATTTTCATCTATCACCCTCAATTAGATTTTCCTTTTCATTATGTTTTTGTGATTTTGAATTGCCCATTGTCCTTTTGTGCGTCAGTGTTTGCTGACAACCGCCCGCCACAGTTCTGCTTACTTTTTCGCAAAAAACCGTCTCACGGTCTATTTGAGAAATTTCGTTTTGTTCACATTTTGGCCTAATTTGTCCGTTGCAGAAAAGTGTTAGGACGAACGTAGAGGGAATGTTGTTGATTCTGCAGCAGATAGTTAATTGAATCTAGCCTGGTCCCTACGGGATACGGGTTCACATTTCTTTATGCAGTCACAGTGTAATCGGACTCTGGCGGGGCATTATCGCCATGCTCCGCGACGGTGTGGGTGCTGCTTGGCGTGGCGACAAATATGGGCCAGCTCGCTTTGAATACGCGGCTAACCGACTGCGCTAAGCACTGACGCCACCCGCAGCTTCTTATGCCCGATCTTCGCGCCTGAAATGAGCTTACCCGTTGCTCATAGTGCGTTCAAATTTCTGATATTTGATTGGAAAAAAATTTCAGTTTGCCTCGTTCACCTCGTGCTCCCGTTTCCTAGCTGTAAGGTTACGAATGCAGGCAGGAATGTATTTTCTCTTATATTCTCCCATGAGTTCCATAGAAACTGAGAAAGTGACAAGTGTTCTCCTTAACGCAAAAAGCCATCCTCGTCCAACTAGTTTTCCAGACCATTTTGTGCTCATTTAAATGCGAAGGAAGAACTTCCACGTTGTCGTATATTTAATGTTTTGGTCCTTACTTTTTTCGAAGCTTCGGTAGAATTGCAGTTTTTCGAGGTTTTCTGAATTTTTTAGCGGAGACGCTTGCATTTTATTTTTGACTGTGTTTTGGTTAGAAAATATCAGTTTTTTGCGGACATTTGCTGTCGCATGCTGGCTTCTGGTTTGGTTTAATTTCCGCATTGTTTTTCTTTTTCAAAAATCATGGTGTAAGTTTTCATCTATTAATTTTGTAGGTTGATATGTGGTCAAACAACTCTGATGCATTTTTCTCAGAAAAGTGCCTAGCTAAGTATGCATAATGATTATTTTGCATTGTCCAGTACACCAGTCATTCACGAGTGATGTATCTATAAAGCTGTCCGCATACCTTGTAATTTCAGCCAGCATGGCTGCCAAACCTAACGATTGCTCCTCCACTAGACGCAGCTGTGCTAGGTTTGCTTCCCTCTTTCAAAAGGGCATCTGATTAGACTTTCCAATAATGTTTTGGAGGCAAAGTGTTCTGCAAAAGATTGCAGACAATTTTCCACTCGTGAATGTTTTAAGGTCGGCCAGTTTCCTTAGCAACTATATGCATTGAATTTCTCGAGGTTGCAGTATCTTGCTATACCTGCTAGGTGTAGTGGAATTTCATAAAAAAAGTTCTTTTCTTTTATAATTTACGTGAGCATCGAGCTAGTCATAGTCTTCACTTTTACTTTGTTAGTGTATTTTGAATCTGCTATCGCTCCGTGACTGTTGTGTTCCACTTTTGATTTTTATGTAGGGTGTGCTATGGTAGTTGAGTTCGATGCGTATAATTCAATTTTCTAGACGAGCAATCGCCTCCGTTATTCGTTGATTTTTACCGCATACAAAAGGAACATTCACACATATTCTGTCTCTACAGTGATACTCGTTTTGCTAAAAAGTTTTGTTTTTATTATAAGCGTGAAATCTGTAAAGAATGCGATAGTTTTTCTGAATGAATGATAAATCTATTTTGCACCTCACCACAACAACTGTTATGTCAATGGCGTGGCTTGCATTTGGCATCATCGGCGATGTGCTCGCTGCTTTTTTTCTCGGCTATATAAAGATATTTTTTCTCACAATAGTAGGAGTATGGAATTGACTTGCAAAAGTACATTCTGAGTTCAAGCTAGCTGTTTTTTTAATGGATATCTACTACAGAGGCTGGGCACTGCCACTAGCTCGATTATACGCTCAAGAAGGTTTTTTTCTTGACGCGGGGCCTAATATTTTTCAACATTGGCGGCATCTCAAAAATGCAAAGTGCATTTCTGTTTCACTTTTGTGATTGATAGAACTTGTACTTGTACAGTGTCATCGCCATACATATATCGGATTAATATTTTGTATCGATTTTCACCAGCTTGAAAAGGTCTTTTCAGGCTGGTTGAACTCTTCCAAATATGTTTACATTTCGAAAAATGTTCGTGTATCCGCTGTCACGGCGGTGTGTGCGATGGGGCGCATTGTATATTTCTGCGACATGCTTCGTCGGCTGCGCTTACAAGCTCTAGATGCAATCATGGAAGAAAATCTTATAAACTTTGCCGCCAAAGTTCTAATGCAATCCCATTCGTATTTTTAGTATTACCTTTTTTTATGCGGTTGTACCTTCCATGCTACTCAATGTCTCCCATGGCTCGCTAACCTTTACCTTCTTTGTGCTTTGCTCCCAGTTTCTGATTTAGTCCACGATGGGCGTGAGAATGAGATCGGCATCGTCATCGGCACCCCCTGTGGCCCGCCGATGGACAATCGCTGCCGACGACCTGCAGAAAACCCTCTGCCGCTAGCTTTACCTTTGTTTACATTGCGCCTATACCGTTGTCCTGCCTCCTGCTTTGTTAGACTTACGAAAAATTCCTGCGTCTTTATTATTTTGTATAATCTTTTTGATTTGATAGGTTCTGTTCGTTAGTGTTAAGTCACGTGTTTTCAGTCACTGCAACGAATTCGTCGGCATGGATCCTGATATGGAGTTCAACGCCCTTTCGGCGTTATATCAAAGCGTCATACAGGATATGAAGGTACAGAAAAATTTTTTCGTAGTGCTCTTTATCATTTTCGTTGTGGCTTGTTTTCCACCATCAATCTGTTTGAGAAAATGATTGCATTGAATTGAAACCTCATTTTCTGGTAAAGTGTGTTTCCTTCACTTTTTGATTCTCGAACAAGCAGAACAAAGTTGTCGTTTGCGTTCTTGCTTTTCATTCTTTTTTGCTCTATATGCAATTCTATTATTCTCTTTGCCAGTTACACTACTCTGAGTATAATTTGCTACAAGCGGTTTTTTCGTCTTTCAAGGAATGATTGCTGATGGCGAGACTGAAAACGACTTTTTATTGTCAAGCAATCGATCATACTACTTTTTTCTTGTCAGAAATGATGGAACACTCTCAGACTTTGATTTGCTATAAAAAGTTACCTGCCTCATATCTCGTCTTTTTTCTTCGTGCCATCGATCTTTTTGCTTTTTTCTGAATGTTTCAAAGAAATCTACTCTTGCATGAGCGTTTTTTTTTGAAGCAAGAATTCTGTTTACTTTCTCAACCGAAAGGTTTATCCTCTTCGGGGCTTTGCGTGGTTTCTTTATGTGCATTTGACTTGCAGTAGGAGTCATTGGGATTAACAGCTTTGCAGCTACATAGCTTGTTTATGGATATGTTTACATTTACGGAAATGTCTGCTGCTAAGCTTTTGGTATAATGCAATTGGTACCGTGAAAAATTGTTTGCAAGTGCACTTCGAAAGTTTGACCGTTTCAAAATGACTTGAGTCAGTTGCTCGCGTCTTTCTAACAATGTACTTGAGGGCACTGTCCAACCAGATCAAGATTGGTAAAGTTTTGATGCAGTACAATGCAAGGCCCTGAAAGTAATATCCCAAGTCCTGCTGCAAAAGAATTATTCCGAAGCAAGAAAATTGCTTCGCAAGTTGGGTGGTACTGGGGTCGCCACGCCCATCCAATGGGACCTAGAAATGTCATAGGTTTGGTTTTCAAATTTTTGACATTGCTGGGTAATGTAAAGCTGATTTCGGCTCATTTAGCTTTGGGTCACCCATTGATGGGCGTGACCCAAAGCTAAAGTCATCAAGTCTCACCGCTCTCCCACACTTTAATTAATGGAATGTTCCATCTGTCTTGGCTAACACTAGGAAACGCGAGAAGACCTTTTGGGAAATATGAGTGACGTTGAGTTGTGTGAAAACTGACCTAGGTTAACTAGTGCCTTTTTTTGAATTCTGTATTCGTCGGCCATAAGTTGATTTTAAAACAGTGACTGTACTTGCTTAATGATCTCATGCTTTCAGCATGCACTTTTTCTGCGCGTACATGATGCTAGAGCAAAGTGTCCACGCGTAATGCGTGCGATGATGTAGCCAGCAGGTTGTAGGCGCACTTTTTGCTGGCGCCGTAGGCAAGTCTAGCAACAGCTGAACTTGACAAATGACCGCATGCTCTTTGCGCGACGATGTGATATTGCAACAAATGTCCGACGCGGCTTTCGTGTTTGGGTTCGCCGCATCGCTCATCAAAAATATACCTTGTCAAAGCGTGAGAGAAGAGAATGGACAGAGGGAGGGGGGGGGGGGGTGAGGATGCAAACGGGCCTTTAACCATAGGACCCAGCACTACTGGTCATGGGTTACGCCAGTGTTCGCTTTTCGGGGCAAATGGTAAAACTGGGTTTGAGGCTGCGTTTCGGAAGAAAAAGTTCCTTACTGTGTATGTATGCGTACATCCGTTCAGATGTCCGTATCAAGAACGGCTAGTGAATTCCACAAGTGCACTCCAGAAAATCGATATATCGATTACTGGCTTGGAGTTACCGTAGTTCAGCGGAAAGTAGAGTAAGGAGAAAGAAAACTGAAAGTTTTGGGAAACAAGGCCCTCATGAAATAAAACTTACTTGCCAGGTTAGGGTTAGGAGTGGTTGAGGGTGAGATTTCTTATGGTTCATGGGAAGAAATTTCAGCATTACAAACATTTCCAACTCAAGTTTTCGAAGTAAAACTTTCCGTCAAGGTTCAAATGTGAAATATAAAGAATATTGTGACTTTTTTTCGCCTTCTGACTATTTTATTGAACTACATCCTCATGAACTTGATGTTGTAACTTACTCGTATACTTAGTTAGATGGCTATTGTTGTGGAAATCCATTACCACCTATATCTTTTCTGCTCTGCCAACAAATTCATGGTCATGCTCAAATGGGGGACCATGCAAGGTCAATGTTTTGAATGCTTCAGTAATGTTACCTACACAGACCTTTTATGCATTGTTAGAATGGTCGGAATAATGTGAATATCTGGTGCCCATTCAGCATCTGCTCTTAATTTTCTTCCGTAATTTTTCTTCGCGAGCGAATGTGCACATTCTCTCCGCTTTCAACCTTTCAAAAATGTCGACACTTGCCTGAAAAAGTTGCGAAGTGCGAAAATGCAAAATCGGCTAAATCGTTCTGTGAACTTATTCAACTTTCGATAAAATCAGTCTACGCTCCTATAAAAACTTGATTTTCGGACTCATCTTTTCTTCTTCTGCATGCCTGCTCTGCAGCTGTGATATGTCATAGTCAGGGACATAATATATGCGTTAGATGCCATCCTATGGCTTATGTGACATCATTAGCCTTTTTATACATGTTTACGAATTGATGGGGATTTATAACATATTTTTCGAATGGTAAAAATCGGCGCATCTGAATTCTGGTTGCCCTGCTCCATCAAACTTTTTTGCCTCAATCTATCTCTATCTCCTCATATTACAAAAAACCGAATTTTGGTATGAAATTCGAATCATGGGAAACTAGTTTGCATACCATACAATTATTTGTAACAGAAAAAGCTTCTCTTACCTGATATTTTGCAAAAATTCTTTGTTTACATTGTTGAATCAGTATCATTGCGCAAGTTTCTTTCTCCGACTTATGCAAACATTCGTCATTTTTATCGCTGAAAGCAAAATGGAATTAATCTTGGGTTTCGTTTCGCTTATCGATGAGTTTTCTTCAGATCGCCCCAAACTAATCGATAAAGGGAAACGAAACTCAATTAATTCCATTTGAATTTTTTTTGTATGAGAATGTCATATCCATGAATGATAATACTTCTTGAATCATGACAGCCTTGTCTGCAAAATTGCAAAGCTAGCAGGCTGTCAACAACGCATGGGACAGCTGTCTTGCCGGAAATTTCCGTATTCCTTGGATTTTCATAGCGGAACATATAAACTGTTGAAAGCGAAAGTGCTTTGTAGCGCTAAGTTCATTTCTCTTGTCTGTCAAGAGGGACAAGCTTCTGTTCAAGTTCTCATACATTACTCTTGCACTTATCGCTTTGAATAGAGGATAGCACACGCGATTATGGGCTGATGGACTTTTGTCGTTCGCTGTCGAGCTATCCTCGTGCACATTGGATGAGAGAGCCCCTAATCAAGTGATGCTCTCTGTGTGTTCGAACGGGACGAGCAGAAGCAGTGGATGATTAGATGGGCAGGCATACCCGAACAGATGTCGCAAATTTTTGGCTGTGCTGCTCGTGCAGGGGAGAAATTATGTCATGCTAATTATTTTCTTCCTTTAGCGGTATTGGTCCGCTGCTAGGGAAAGAAAAAATGAATTTGCCGTAACACTTTAATTTTTGATAAAGATTGCGTAAAATCGGCGAATAACGAAGCTACACTACACTGAAATTGTTTTTCAGATGCTTCCCAACTTCTGTAAGATAAGAAACAAAGATTTTCATAACACAAATCAAAAATCGACTTTTTTCTGCGGACTGTAGACTTCCTTTTTCGTCTCAAAATTTTACTGTTAGCCCAAGTGGACGATAGTTGGCTATGCATCACGTTCTTGTCAGTCGTGAAAACGAAATTGCTCGTAAAGAACATTTTACCGATGATTTACGATTTACATAATTTATTTGTCTGCCAGAGTACAGTGGTGGTTTGGCTGGACTTTAACGTGGATGTGGGGGAATGGAATGTGGATAATAACGGTGGACAGCATAGACCGAGTATAGATGGACTCACTGCACTGAAACGATAGAGAGGGGATTTTTCTAGTGTTTTAGCGTATTCTAGAATTTCCGGATAGGGAAGGAGGATCTGTTTGGAAGAATTATAGATGATATTTTTGTTCAATTATTGAAGACACTATGCAGCGATAATTTAACTATATCGAAAAGTTGATGTAATTTATGTTGAATAAAAAACAGAATGGCTTGGAAAAAACACGATGCACATCCATCGAAAAAAATGCAATTAGGTGGTGATAATAAATAAATTTTTGAAAGTGACATGTTTAGTATTTTGCTCATTCTGCGCTCTCTACATCTACCAAAATCGAAGTTACTTTCTTTATGAATGTAGTCGTTTGCTTGTGTAACTGCTTATTTGGGAATATCTTGGTTAATTAAGAGAAGTATGATTGCAGCAATCGTATCCGGCATGGGAAATGGTAGGACAGCGTGCTCAGAAATTGTCCGCACAGTTACGGGCCACCGCTACTTGTTTGGCCGGATTTGTAGACGCCGTGCAAGCCGTAAGCGACTACGCCAATAATCTTAAAGGTCAGGATGTCCGCCTCATTTTTGTCTTTAGTGTTTTTTCATATTTTTGCTTTACTTTATGTTACTTATGCGATTCCCGTAAGAATTCGATTTTTTTGCTGCTTGGCTTGGATTTGAAGGAATCTCTTTTCTCCAAAGCTTTCTTTGAGTATCTGGTTTAGGTGCTGCTCGGGATATGGGTGTTTGTATGACGAGAGTTTGTATGCGAGAGCGAGCGATTGAGCATCGCCTTAGAGCCGTAGCTGATGCACTAGCGGATGAAACAGCCGTAAGCATCCAACAAAGAGCCGGTTATTGGAAGCAAAGAACCTCAGACCTTGATAAAACTGCAGCGAAACATGTGAAAAAGGTTGTGCTCGAGCTAGTCTCGGCAACTTTTCGGTTGCTAATTGGCACTTTCCAGATAAGAACCAGAAAAGGACGACCGGATCCGTCAGCAGTAGCCGAGCAACGTCAGCTATGTAGTCAAGTGCTCAGTGAACAACGCACTCAATTCTCGTTTTTTATTGGAACACTCATGCCTGTTCTTGTGAGTTGCAGCGTTGGATTTTTTGTCGAAGTACCGGAAATTTTCGCTTTGATGATTTTGTACTTTGCAGAACGCTGAGATTTCAATGCTTGACGAGGGACCGCACATCCGACAAGTTGTTGACAATCTGGATAGTACTGTAAAGGTGCGTCAGTTACTAGATCAGACGGAATCTCTTTTTAAATTTCTTTCCTTTTTCTTGTATCTGCACGTTCCAGTGCTACAATGTTCATCTGGCGATTTATCTTTGCCGACTCTCGCCAATATCTCGTTTTTTGCCTGCTTACGTCTTTATCTCGTCCTTTTACCCTATTCCTTTTTTTTTTCAAACGGTTATTGCCTGATAGCGGACACTTTGCGTCTGCAGACAGCTGTCTTGGCTTTTTTTTCATGTATGGGCAATTTCCAAAGTAGATCGTTCTAGATGTCAAGAAGTGTATACTAGAAATATCTCCTTATCGTTTGACGAGTCTTCCTTACATTTATTTGTTCTGCTAGAAAACACTACTTTTTGCCGTAAACTCTAATCTACTGCATAGGTAGCTGATGCGACTGCAAGGGAAGATCTTCCCATATGAATTGAAACTTCACATTTGTAACTATCAATATTCTATCTACTCTGCAACCCCCTGAAACCAAATCTCAGCATCATTTTATAGTTGGTGGATGGCCATACATTGGTACAAACGATTCTTGGCGACGTTTGTCAAGGTGCTGATAACGCTTGGAGACAATGTCTTACGAATGCAGCTCGCGCTTTTCATAACGGTGATTCTAGCGTGGACGGGGGACTTTCCACACGTGCAACCACTCCTGGGAGCAGTTTTAGTCACGGTGAGAGTCACATACGATAATATTTTCTTCCTTGTCGGAATGATGGAGAGTTTCAGAAGACAGTGATATGACACCTCAAGCACCTAGACCGCATACAATCTCCGCCGGCACAAGGTAACTTTTTGTTTGGTTCTTTTCATTTTCTTGATTTTTGTATTGAACATCTCTTTTTGCTATTAAACTTGTATATTATTGAATTTTTCAATTCTATCGAAATCATTTTTATATTTTTGTACGTTATTTCTAGATACACCGCTAGTCATTGCGGAATCACCTCGAATACATTCGTTCCTCCTAAGCCTCCTCTTCAACGACGACCGAGTGAAAGAAGCATAACTAAGGTAACTGGGTTTTTTCCTTTGCTTTTTCCGCTATGAAATATTTGTCCCCGAATTCAGGCTCGATTTACCCCGCCACCCGAAGTACCCAACACACATCAACAAAACAACCATTCCCAAGTACCTCCATCTGCTTATCGACCCGCGGCCGGTTCACAGTTCGACTTATCAATGAATCAGAATGGTCGAGTACAACGACCACAAAGTTTTACTGGAGAACTGAGGACTACGTTTGCAAGTGTGAGTTATGGAAAAAAAATTGCTGGTTTTCAAAAATGGCCGATTTCTGTTTTCAGAAACCTCTATCCACTGTTACTGAACGAAGACCGCTTAGTCTAAGCAGTTTTGACTGCAGAAGCGTTATCGTGTGTTTTTACAGTGATTTATAGAGATTCGTTTCCATTGCTAGTAGGGTAGAATAGGATAGAATGCGCCTAATACCTTTGTTGGGATAATGAGAGATGATTTTGAGTAGATGAAATCCCGCTTGTCAACTCTGTGATCGGAAGGTCCTAGAACATAGTTGATTAGTAGGTGTGTGATTAGAAAATTTACCTTCTTCCCCTTTCTCCTTCTCGCGCTTCCTATTTTTTCCGCAAAATATACATGACCTGGTTGACCAGAGAAAATGAACGATAATATTGATATATCTTTGAGTCATTTGTAATTTGATACGCGAGTTTGCACATATGCGCAGCAACCGACGACATTTTTATTAGTAAACTTCTTAGGAAAACTTTTTTACAGTAACAAATCGTAGAAAGTACGAAAATTGCTGTATTCATTCACATCAAAACAGACATGGAAACAAGCATAGATTTCTGGAATTGAGCCGGTCTCAATCTTACAAGTCGTCAAGCAGCGCGCATGGTGTGCAATACACATATCACGTTACAAATGACTCCAAGATATGTTTGGATGTAAATGGCTTATCCCTAAGAATGCTACCTCTATTTTGCGATTTGAGCTTGAATTTGCCTCCTTTGATGAGGAAATAATTTATCTATTTTGAACCCTGAGTATTCAAAAGAGAATTTTTCATCAAACTAGTTTTTCCTGCCTATGCTTCCTCGACCAAAATTTTTCTCTTTTCGCACCTTACGCCTTAATACCGCTTCATTCCAACTTTTGCGCACCGATTCTGATTTTACGCTTCAAAATTTGATTGAGTTTTTTTTTCAGACCCCAACGTATTGTACTGGGCCAAGTTATCCGACCGGTAGCAGTTCGTGTAGCAGTTCCGATGCAGCGTCATCCGCCGCCTTAATTGCTGAGACATTACAGCAAATCGGTTTGTGAATATCCAGTAGTTCAAAGCGAATTAAGCGTGTGAAATGTGCATCTGCAGACCAATTAGGATCTGATCTGGAAAACTACTGTGTGGCAGCCGATCAACAACATAATCCTGCTCCGCAACGCGTGCACACAGAATATGCAGCTCTACGAAATACGAACGGATGTGAAGCAACAGCTAATGGACATGCTACCGGTGGTGGAGGATCTGGTGTCACTAATTCCAATACACAGAACGGCACCATTCGTATCAGAGGAGGTGGGGATGTGTAGTTTACTGGCGTGGTACTACTTTGTACGATTTTTTTAGTGATAAATAATCACAGGTCACAAATTTTATTTTTTTCATTTGTATTTTGAATCTTACTGATTTCTTGGACTTTTCTGAACTGTGGAGCCAAAAATGTGACTTCTCTGGTGATTTTTTTTGACCAAAAAATAACACAAACGCCAAGTTTTTCCTTGTTTTCCTGAACTTCAATTTTTCAGAAAGCACTTCTCGACCGCCACCTCCAGCTCGTCGAAGTAGCACCATAACGTCAGCTACACCTACAGCTCCTTCCATAGCTGAAGCACGAATGAGTATGGGATCTGTTATGGGTAAGTTTTCCCACTGTTTTGTCCGAATTATTCTCTTGCCGGGACAACAGTTTTATAAATTGTAGTCATTCTCAAAAAACGTTGCTGTAGGAAACTAGTCTGTGCAGTTTGCGCCTTTGATCCATAGCGTTAGCTTCATTGTGGTCGTTCATCTGTAAAGCTAAAAAAGCGGTAATTTTCTGATAATCGGCTTTTGCTTTTACTTTTGATGACGTCGCATCAAGGATGTTTCCATTCAGTCAAAGTCTTATTGTTTTCGTGCGTAAAGACGCGGTACAAAAATTGTTTGAACGTAACAGCGCATTCTTTCTGTCTTCTCTCAAAATAAGAATATATCGGAGTCTGAACTTGCGTTAGTTGAACCACTCCAGTCCCATCATGGTAGTGAATGGGCAAATGAATGTGTGCTATCCTATTGCAATGACTCGCGAAAGAGCGATTAATGCTTCTGACCTTGGTGAGAACTTGGGCCAAGTTTGCTTTTCTGAGGAAGTGAACTCAGCAAGATCATTTTATTCCCCTCAGGGAGCTTATGGGTCCCTTGCAACTCCATCAAAAATATCTTGCGCTGTAGGAGGAAATAGTAGGTTTGTCCCCTGAACCCTGTAAAGAATTCCTCTCTTGGTCTCGGTTTTTGACAAAAGGATCTCATCTATTGTACCTTATTCGCATTGTGAAATATCTAGTAGAATTCATAGGTATTTATTCCGGTTATAAGCCTTACATGGGTTATAGAAAGGTGCAAGTGACTTGTTTATTCTTGTAAATAATTAAAATAAGTTTCAAGATTTTTTAGAAATTCAAAATAGCCTTGTAGAAAACTTTTTTCAGGGGTGTCAAGCAGTGGCGGTCCCAGGGGACCGGTGGGGGGGGGGGGGGGGGGGAGGGGGGCGCCACAAAAATTTTTTTCAAATGAAGGCGCGTGGCGTCAGACACGCACTCCGAAAAAATTTTTGGGGTGCTTCTCAAAATTTTTGCGGTTCCCCAACCCCTAAAATCGAAAAATTTTTTTTCATAAGGCTAATTTAAATTTTAAAAAAATTAAAAATTATCTCAATTATTTACAAAAATAAACAAGTCGTTTGCACATTTTTATAACCCATATAGGTAATTTTCAAAAATTTCGCGACCCATTCTCGGTGGGTCCACAAAAGTTTTCGAAGGCACCCCAAAAATTTTTTCGAAGTGCAGAACGCCACGCAGCTTCGGTTGCCCCCCCCCCCTCCTCCCCCCGAAATACTGAGACCGCCACTGTCAAATATTCCCTTCTAAGACAGATAATTGGATGACTTTCTCAAAACGCCATCTTACATTCCGTTTCTTCAGCCCATCCCGAGCACAGCTCTTGTTCAATTTTCAAGATCAATTAACACATATGCCAATTACTTAGATACATCTGAAAATGTCAATGATATCATTCCGACGAAATGAGAACGCGTAGTCCCATTAGTTCCCTGTGTTTCATATTGTTTGATTACGGAAGGATTACTGAACAAAAGCGTTTTTTGATACTTCTGTTTACGTAGGAGTGTCAGCATGATGATCATAACAACAAGTTCCCATTACGCTAAATAAACGTTGTAATTAGCAGTGTAATACGAACGACAACACTTTTTGTTGTATCCGTAATACGAGTAGCATTGTAGTGAAAATTGATCTGTGTAAAATGAGCACTTGGGGGAAGTGATATCAAGAGCAATTTAGTTGGATTCGCTTAGCGCTTTTTCGAGGAATTAACTCTTATAGAAGACCTATAGGATATTAGGAAACGAAATTTTGTTAAGAATGCTAATTTCATAGTAACGTAAGCGATGAAGCAGTACAAGAAACTATAGGTGTGGTATATTTTCTCGAATTTTTTGTTAAACAGCTATGCAAAAATATGTTCTCTGGATTTCCCAAGAAACACACATCGACTAAAAACATTCTGTAGATCTCTGTATCTGTTCTGTTTTGATTTTCTACAAATTGTAAAGCGAACACTTTGAATTTTACGTATTTTTTGCGCGTCGTATTCACTATAATGCAAAAAATGAGGATATATGTGACCGTGACTGTGACTGTGACCTTGACCTAACAAATATTTGAGGTACACCTTCATATAGAACTGATTTTTAGGAAGTCGACAGTCGCTAAATTCGAGTGGATTGTACTGTCCACATGGCTCCAATCAAGACCTACGATTTTCGAATGTTAATCCGTACAATAGGCCTGCACCGAATTACAAAATCTGATATATCTTTATCGATCCACAAATGTACATAATGTTTCCACATTTCCGGTGAGTGCTGTACTGTAATTGTGCGACACGCAATTATATTTATAACGAGAGTACGACAGTCAGTGCCTTTTCCATGTTTCTCATTTTCGTTTCATTTCTTTCGTGTTTTTCTTCGTTATGCTCACGGTGAAGCTATTTTTTCTGTAATTACATACCTAAGTTTCTCAAAAATCTGAAGGAAGAACTGGTCTATGTGTGTTGTTACGCGTGCGCTTGTCCTAAGAGCTGCCTAGCAGCGTTTGGGAAGCGTTTCAGGTTCCATACTCATTCATTCATTCTTTTCATTCTTTTTCCGGATTTCCTCGTTCTTGCTCACTAGGCTTTTCAGTCGTTTTCGACTTGTTTTAGCATACTGCCACAGCTATTTTTCAAGACTTTCAATCGCATGACTCGTTTTCACCAAAATTTGGCGAGAATTTGCGCCTTGTTAGCTTTTTAGAGCTCTTCCCCCCCCCCCTCCGTACTCATCAAGGTGTAGTCATCGTCCAGAATGCTTTTACAAGTATTATTGTTTGTACTTCTATATGTCATCGGCCATGATCTTGAGTATGTGGGTTTTTTGCCTTGGGTATGTTGCTTATTATGACCAAGATCGTGGGTTGTATAACACATATGTGTAGGCAATAAAGGAAGTAATTTTTGTGTTGTTGTAAAAACATGTGACTTATGAATCCGAAAATTATGATAAATAGTGTTTAAAGGCGTCTCAAGATTCACTCATTGATTCAAGTACGATAAGTAGTAGTGTAATGTACTTATCATAAGAATTGATATTCAGTATCATAGATCTTCGTTTCGTTTTAAGGACAGAAGCGATTTTTGCGTCATACATTTTTTCCAAATTTTCATTTTATCATGGTATTTTGCTCGCAATTGATTCTTTTCTGGACCTCATCTCATCGCTGAATCGTGAGCTTTTCAGCTTTCATTTTATACTCGGCTTTTTTACTCTTCCTGAAGTAAGTTTAACGACGATTATGTAATCTCGAAAAAAATAGAGAATAAGTTCTTGTTTCATAGTTTTGAAGATAGCAGTCTAATTCAGCAAGCTCATATCATTTCGCGGAGGAAAAAAGACTAACAAGGATTCTTTTATTAATGGCGAGTGAACGATGAAGGGCCCAGCGCTGAATCTCTCGGTAGTATGGAGTTGAGAAGTATAGCGTATAGGTGTGGCTTCCAGTTTGTGCTGCATGTCCAAAGTCCCTCTCATAATTTTCAGGCTTGTTTTTCTAGCACTTTCGTACTGTACGATGAGCTAACCGCTGACTGAAGAGTTTACGAGCCCGTTTCGAGCTTAGTCGCCAGCCCCTAGGACGAGTTTTTACTTTAGGCGCGGCTAAGTTGAGTTTTACAAGCTTCATGACTATAATAGCGGGTCATTTAGGAATCGCAAGCCTGTTTTGTGTAAGGCTTGATCCAGCAAAAAATAACTGGGCATAATCATCATGGTGCTAGTCGTAGTGAAATGGCGAAATAATGGTACGATGCGGTAAATTTTCATATTAGCGATGAGGTACTGTAACGAGTTTAATGATCAAAAGATAGGTCAAATAAAAAAGGTAATATGTTGCGTCTAACAATGAGATATTCATTTGCAGTAGGCTTCATATGCGTAGTAGAAGTTTGGAAGTCGATTTTTTGACTATCACTACAGAAGACTACTACAAATAGAAGGAGCAAGCATATGCTCTATGGCTAATCTACACATGCAAACGTAGCATTACAAGTGTTGCAATTTGTTCACGCGCAGTTGCTGTTGGCACCGCAAGGGCACTATTTTAAAGAACAACGATGAACATTTACTGCTAGAATCTTTATCGCAAGTACAAAAAATAGAGATTCCGAAGGAAGACCCTTATCAAATAGTATTCACCACAACCCTGCGCGATGGGTCTGTGTAGAAGTACCTAACAGCATGACAGTCCTCAATTCGGCCCATTCTTTCGATGTATGAAGATTCAACAAATTCAATAGTTGATCTCAATCGCCGAAATCTCATCTGCTATATAGAATAGATTAAAATTTGGAAGTGTAAATCCACAACTATCCTGTAAGAATCTTTGGACCATCAACTATTGTGATCTCTCCATACATGCACTAAAATGCTCCATTTATGATTATCTAAAATTGTTATGTGCTAAAATTACTGCTGTACCTGTTGCTGAGTGCACAACATAAGTGCTGAGCAATTATCGCATAAATTCGATGGGGCGCTCAGTTACCTGAGCCCTCTATTGATACATGAATTCGATAATATCCCTATTATGTGCAGAATACGAAAATGTAACTGGTAGAGTCTGTTCAATGTTTTCTATACGCTCAATTTCTCCCTATATGGCTTGCTTTAGTTCGATTAATAGCGCACTTTTGGAAGTTATTTTGATCGCGTATGATTGGTTGTATGAAACAACCTTGTGATCTCAATGTCTTTTGAGTTTTGATCATTAAAGATGACAAACGATCTCTATACACTGCAAACGATGTTAGGCAGATAAGATTTTGGATTAACGGTTGTAATTTTGCTGATTCTAACTAATATACGTGTTAATTGAAGCTGAAGCTGAAGCTTATTCTAGTATAGTGTCTCATCGGAGTAGGTTCTTTGGAGACTGTAATATTTTTGAGTGATTTACCAAAGATGATCTTTAAACAGATAGACCCACTTTATACAAGGAACTAAAATTTTTTGTAGAGGAACTTTCCCTCAACAAAAACCGTACGAACGGCTCTGCAATCAATCATTTGTAGTAAAAGTTGCGATTTAGGATGAAGAGATTCAATGACAGTTTTAGTGATTTATCGCAGATGCTTCAAAGGTAATGAAAATTATAATTGCACGCGAATAATCGACGCAGGTAACGCAGAAATTCCAGTGTGGCCTCGCGGCGCGGTTCAAATGCCTTTGAGTCGTAGAGAAGTCAGAGCTAGCCAAAATTAATGCATTTCCCACTGGTTTACACTTGTGCAATGTCTGTGCTGCCATTGCTTAATTTGAATATTTCTTCATAAGTAATTTACAGGCGTCCATTATACCGTGATTCAAATCTCGCTGTTGTTCGCTAAACGATAATCACAGTGATCACTTGGCGAATGCGTGTAATCTAGGTACCGTAATCCTACAGTACAGCGCTTGCCGTGCAAGATAGATCCAGTTTTTATATCTAAGTGCTGCACAATTTCACGTGGTATTCCAGAATCTAAAATGAATTTTTGCACTATCAGTTCGCAGATTGTTTATTGAAATGTGATTGAAAGCCGGCGCAAAGACATCTGCCACAAATCAGCTAACCTTACACTTTGCACCTTGTGCCAGTTGCATAACTTTTCTCACGACATGATGTTTCGATTTTTCGATTTTTCTCCAAAAAAGATTGATTTTTGGTAGCATGGTACGAAAGTGACGCGATTCCAATTTTCTCACGGATTTGAAAAGAAAAACCTATCACTATGGCAGGAATGGAATTCGAAAAGTTAGCAGCTTCGCACTGACCTTCGCTTGCAGAAAAGTGCAATGAAGTATAACCTATCCTAGGCTAATCCCATGTGACAATGGTCTATTGTTACCATGATACATACATTCGGGGGAAAAAGAGACTTGTTATGCTTGCGCGTTTGGCAAAGAAGGAATTTTTTCTCTCCCGCTTCCCTAGCGTCCCTCAAAAACCTCCATTTTTCCTAGTTTCGATATAGAATGAAATTCAGAGATCTCCCCAAAGCAGAATTCTCCAGAAAGAACTCATGCTGTGATTTGAACTGATATGTGATCGCGCAATCACGGGGGCTGGACGGGGGATATCCCCCGTCTATGGGCGCAATTCTCCTCTCATCACAGCTCGCAAGGTTACACGCCCCTTGTCTCGTTTGCCTGCCCCACCACTATCGTCATCACATTCTGTTATGATTGTACCGTATTTTACAACATATCAAGCATTCATTGACTATTTTTTAGCACTCACACTTTTTAGGGATTTTTTTTCAAGCTTTAGGCTATCAAGCGCCTTTTACAGAAAATCTTTCCAATGTCCGTATTTCTGCAGCCAAAATATTTCATTCCGAAGCTCTCATTTTTTTGAAAAGCTCTCTTTAGCGTTGTCACCTTGCCAAATGCCTATTTCTATGTAGTAAATACATTTTTTTCACACCTTGAGATCGGCGACAATGTATTTGACACAACAAAAATATTTGTAACAATACACTTTACAGCTGTGTGATGTTGAGATTGTGTAGTGAATAGATTCGCATCAAAGATGGAAGATTTGCCACATAAACATACCCACTCTGCCAGAATTATACTCTCAAAAGAGAAAGAATTAGAGAACAATATATAAATAAGATACGCTTGGCTCGACTTAGTATTTCTTTATTTTTTTACAATCAGAATCAAATCAAAAAATCTATTAGACTTACAGTATGTAAAGTCGTTTTTACGAAAACTGGTAGCTAAGAATGTGTGGGGAGGGGGACGAGAAAAAGTGTTTGTAAAAGTAGAGAAGACGGAACTACATGTCTGGCTCATTTTCACCAAAAACCCGTTTGCTGCATATTTTTAGCTTCTCTTTCGTCAAAAAAAAACTCTATGTTTATTCTTCTCCCCAAACATCGCGTGTTCATTGAATGTAGCCTGAAATTTTTGACAGATTTTTAAAATACTTTCGTTATTTCTTACTGTCGAACTTCCAATGTCTATCTTGCTTATTGTTAGATATAAGGATATTTTTGCAGTGAAGACAAAACAGCATGAAAAAAAGGCAGTCGCGATAGATTAATGGCTAAATTAATATTTTCTTTAGAGATTTTGAATAAGATTTTCTCTAAATGATATGTGTATGCAATGTCAAATATCCCTATGAGAATGCAATTCAGCAAATTACAGTTCAATTTGTTAATGAGTATGAGTAGCGTATTTGTAATTCTATGAATTTGCTATCAATAAAAATAAAAAAAACTCAAAATCCTCCGCAAAAACTGACCACCTACGCTGTCTACTTCCCTATATGTTCTATGCTCAATTTATTTCAAACTTTGTGACTGTTGCTATTAGAATCATCTCATTGTTGGTTGTCAGTTTTGCAAAAAAATTTACTAAAGCTGACTTGCAGATGGTTGCAGTCACGGATGCCAGTCTTGCAACAGACATACCACGCACTATCGAAGTCAGAGTTGAAGGAACTCCAGGTGAGTAAAAGCTTTTTTTGGATGAAACGGTTAAATCTTGTGCAAAGCGCACTAACCACTAAATTGAGTATTTTTTTAGAAAAAAATCCATCTGAGAATAGTTATTTCGCAAAGCATGAATATAAAAATAAAAATCACATATATAAGAACAAAAATTCATAAGCTGTTTTGTAGCCTAGTTTTAATGTTGATTTTAAGATAATTCAAATGTCTTATGACTAAGCTTCGGTAAATAAAAATCTCTGTTTTTGCCATGTCAGAAATGAAAAGTGGAATAAGAAAAAACTTGCAAGGGATAAAAAAAATATAAAATGAGCTTTCTGATCACTGGTTTTTTTTCTACATTATAATTTTGATGAAAATTTCAAGATGCTTATGACCCAATCACAGTAGTATGTAGCTCACCTCCAAGTTTCAATCCTTTTTTAAGAAAGTCGGTTTTCAAATTATTTTGAAATAGGTTTGCAAATATTTTTTCATAATTCAATGCTTTTTCTTGATGTGCTGTTATATAATCTCTAGATATGTTATCATCGTTGAATTTGATCAACTAAATGTTTTTTTTGAATTTTTTCAAAATGGGGCAAAAGGAATTGTAAGCGCTGGTGAGATTCAGAATTTCTTGAGCGTTCATTTTCAGTACTAACGTTGTTTGAAATTCCTGATATCATTTATCTTCATACTGAAATCAAAAATACTCAAAAATTGCTCAGAATATTTGGTTACTCAGAAAGCTGTTGATATCATTTCTTCGATTTGTTGAAAAGACGAAAACTTTTAATTTCAGAGCTCCCAAAATCTTCTAAGGAGGATCGCTCATGGATGCGATACGCTGTGCTATGTACAACAATTCTCTGCCTTTCTTCAGTAATGGCAAACATTGTCTGCTTCAATTTCACAGTTCTATGCATGCCGGCCACTCGAGAGCATTTAGCTCAAAACGAGGTGTGTGTGTTTGTTTTTGGATTTTTCAAAGACGAGGTCAAGTGCTCTGTGTCTCTTGCGTTCTTACACCGTTATCCTTGGAAGAAGCAATAAAACATTATTTGAACGAGGCGTATTTTTCCAAAAGGTCGTGCAAATGCACTTTATGCTGACACTTTGTTCGAGGAACATGCGAAATTGGGGAAAAATTTTCTGTTTCAGAAATTAGGGGTAAGTGACTTTCAATCAAAATTTGCTGTCTCATCGTGAATACAAGGCGAACTTGGGCCAGTGAGCGCGATTTATGTGGAACAATATGTTGTTTTGGTGCAACATCTTGCAGTTCTGAGTTCCCGCCAAAATGCGTTGCAACCGCACGCGATTGCCACTACCTTGTTCTAATCTTTTTTTGCATACTCTTTGCTATCGTTGTAGTAGCCAACAACGTGTTGAACGAGTCCTAAGCTTGTGAAAACACGTTGAACACACTAAAATAAACGAGAAGGTAGCTTAGTCAAAGACAAACACTTGTTGAACGCGTTTTTTCGCTGTTGACCTGCATCGCAAGCGGTCGCGACACGCTTTGGCGGGAAACTGTGCCAGAATATTAGCACGGAAGAAACTATAGAAGCAGGCTCAAAATCTGAATAAAACAGGTAATGAAGAGAAATGGGGCTTTCAACAGGCTAATTTTTCGGATTTTTTCTTTTGTGGGGTAGGAGGGAGGGTTAGACCATAAAAATTCCAGGCAAATTTGTGAATATGACTTTCAACTGTCCGCTCCTGACGTAGAGAATTTGATTTCTCTTTCGAATTTACTTCCTGTTTTCTGACAGCCTGATCACCAGACTGATTCCTATGGCTAATTCCGCACATCACCGGAAACACACCTGTTCTACCCCGCCGGTCTGCAATTTTCTCTCTCCCCTTAACCCCCCCCCCCCCTCCGCGCATAATCTGTCATAACTGGCCGAATGATCCCTGCTATTCTATCAACAATTCATTAGCGAACAGAGATCGTGACGTCGGTTGTTGTCACAACCCATTTGTAAAAGAGAACACGACCGATCTTCAAAAGTCACTGCGTTGATGAGAAACTGGTTCAATGACGATATGGCTAGACGATTTTCGGTTCTCTGTTATAGCGCAGAATCGAAGGAAAAACCGGGATACTGTAGAATGGATGGCCAAAACACAGTTTTGAAACAGGGATTTCTTATTTGGCATTGCAATAATGATTTTTCCAAGATTTAATCGCTTAGGCATAGGAAAAGTTTAATTGTTTTTTCAAATGTCGGTGACAACAGCAAACAGTTTTTGTTGGAATCACCAACATTTGAAAATAATAAACAGCCTTTTATTGAAATGTTGAACAAGTAAGGAATCATCTAAATGAATGGATAAGTAAACAAACAATGAATAAGCAAATTTACATAAAAACTATAACTAAGATAAATGAATAAATAAATACTTTCCGTTCTTTAAATGGAAGTTTCGGTAGAGTTGGTCGCCTAATACTGCAAATTTATCTTATTCTTGAGTCAAGTGTTATAGTCAGTAATTTCACAAGAAAAAGTAGTTCAAGTTGTTAGAAATTTTTAATATTTTGACGTAACTGTTCAGAGGAAAAAGTTGTTTTTTGCTTGCATCACCGTAAATCTCTTATTTTTTCTCTTTCATTTGTGTTTTCGGGGGGTGGTAGATGTACAGCAAAGCTGGCGTCTTTCTGGCGAAGGACAGCTCAAGAATGTGATTGAAAATTAATTCACAAATTCAATGGCAATCATTATAATGTTACCTACAAGACTTCGCTATTGACACAGAAGGCTTGTTCGACTTTTTCTGTAAAGCTTAATCCTTGAAAAAGCTTTAAGAACTTAAACCTTTGTTTTCCAGACTCACTACCATGGCTACAGCAAAGATGAACGTACATGGCTGTTTAGCGCCGTTGCTGTAGGAGCTCTATTGTCAGTTGTTCCTACCTCACACGCTATCGCTACTTACGGAGCTCGACATGTAGGTTCTGGCACAGTTTTTGCACATTGCTGGCACGGCGCTGGCATGAGCAACTTTAAACGCAGACTTAGTTTCAAATTTTAGGTGTTCTTCGCCGCTGGTATGCTATCCGCTTTGGCCACAGGTTTTATTCCATTGGCAGCACACAACAGCTTGAATGCTTTCTTGTTTCTGCGTTTTCTGCAGGTACACTTTCCAGAATTATGTAAAATCTTGGGGAGCAGACAGAAAAATTATCAGAATGAACACGCAGTATTGCATTCATGAATCTCAAGACACTGGACTTGAGTTCAAATTCCATACAAAAATAGTGCTGATAGCAGCTTCTTAGGCCTAGGACACTGTTTATCGATTTTTCTTTGATGTAGCTCTGGCGCACCGCATGGCGCACGCAGCGCACGATCTCACTCTAGTCGCGCGAAAACCAATATCGCGATTGTGATTTTGTCGAATAATGCATTATATTTTCCTACACTTCAGTGATTTTACTTTTTTTCTATATTTAGGGTGTTTCTTGCGCTGCTTGTATGCCCACAGTTGGAGCAGTCACTGCTGCATGGGCTTCACTTAGGCAACACGGCCTTTTCATGTCCAGTCTTACTACGTTCGGCCAGATTAGTGCGATTTTTGCCATGCCAGTGTCCGGCGAGGTATTTTGTCCAATTTTGACATAGATTCGAATCGTTTGACCTTTTTCTTCCAGCTATGCGAGTCTTCATTTGGTTGGGAAACAGTGTTCTATTTACATGCAGTAATAGCAGTGATTTCTTTCATTGGATGGTTCTATCTGTACTCAAATAATCCAAGTAGGTCAAGTTTATTTGCAGTCGTGTGTAGCAAAGATTTTTATTCATTTTAGGTCACCATCCTCTGGTTTCAAAAAGTGAGTTGGCCGACATCAATCGTGGCAAATCGGCTGCATCGCTAAAGGTTAGCACTTAATGATTTTTTTCACTCAGAACTTACGACAAAAACAATTTCCAAATGTGCAAGCTGGTGGTTCACGTTTTATTTGTCACTCTAGGCCGAAGATACTCAAGAATCCATTCCTTATATCGAAATTATGACGACTCCAAGCGTTTGGGGAGTCTGGATTGGTGCTTTGGGAGATCTCATTGCTATACAGGTACGGTAAAACTGCAGATCCTATAGTTGCTTCAAGAGAAGCCTTCCTCTTAGTCAGATTTTTCGAAAATTCTGAAGAATTACTTTGTTATATTTCTCCATTACTAGTGTTTTACCCTTCAGTTGATTGAAAATCTGAAAAGTCCCGTAGAATAGCCCTGTGATACTTTTCTTATGATAAAACTTGATTTTTAGCTTATCCATATGTTTTCGCCTCTCTACATCCGTACAGTTCTACAATATTCCGTACATAACACAGGTTTTGCTTCTGCCCTTCCTGTTCTTGTGCAATTTTTCGTCAAGGTAAATTTTTGATCATACTTCTGGTAATTTCAAAGATTTTATTGAGCAATTTTCAGGTTTTCGCTGGTCATAGCAGCGATCAAATCCGTGGAATATCAGAAACTACAAAAATTCGTATTTACAATAGTATAGCACTAGGAGCAAGTGCACTATTCCTGTGTGCATTGGCATTCGTTAAGGAAGGTTTGTCTTTTTAAGCCAAGAAATTTCTGGAACAAATTCGATCTCTGCTTTCAGGAAGTTCAATCGTTGGAATTGTACTCATTACACTTGCAACAGCAATGTTTGGTTTCAATGGCGGCGGTTTTAATAAGGTCAGATTATTATAAATTTATGACAGTATTACAATTTGATGAGAAAATAATTCATGTAGAGTCAAATAAGAGTATCAGTGCAAAAAAATCTGACAATTTTTGAGCATGTAAGCATTCTTCTTATGCAAAAACAATTTTCTGTCACTGATATGAGTAGAATCATCAATATTTAGCGAGAATAGTCTGAAAATCGAAGCTTCTACCATTTATAGTGACGTTTCTGAATGCTGTTATTATGATACTAAAATGACAAGAATAGTCAAAATCTCGAAGTTGCCTTACGTTCTGGGACAAATTTGAAGAGAAGTTCAGCTTGAGAATTCTACTGAGTTGAGGTCGGAATGAAGAGCTTGTTATTTTTTCGCAATTTTTTGGACACTAGGGTTTTTTGGAAGCGTAGAAATGCTGAAAACAAATATCTTATATACAAATATATACAAACAATCTTTTTCTGGAAATATTAATCCATTTTCAGTGCGCAACGCTGGTATCACGTCAATATAGCCACTTTGTGCTCGCTAACATTCAGTTCATTTGGTGCTTATCTATGCTGATTTGTCCAATATTGGTAAGTTTTTCCCTTCTGTACCTGGTTTTTCTTTTTGAAATATTGTTAGTTTAGGTTTCACTCTTGCTTCCGACAGGTGCTGTAGAAGAATGGCGAGTGGTATTTCTCTCGCATGCTGCTCTGCTAGTTCTATCAAATGCGATTTTCTGCTGGTTAGCCACAGCGAAGCCAGCACCATGGACAGATCCGTCCATTACGTCAGCAGCTCGGAAAAATACTCCCATCGTCAACCGGGGGTTGAAATTTTGACTTTTCCACTATGTCTCGATGAACCATCATGCCAGTAGCTGCTATTTAAACTTTATAGCAGCTAAATAAGGAAAATTTCTATGATCTCGTATATATTTCACTTTTTGTTTCCATGTTCTCGTTTTTCTTTTTGCTTCTAACAATAAGTTCTAATTTTTATTCACGTGTATGCTATGCATTTTTAGTGACAGGTAAACATTTTTCACTTATTTATAGATTTCTACCCTGTCAGTTAGTGAGCAGATTTTGCTAACATATATGATAAAATTATTTTACAATTTTTACGCCTTACTAGACGCGTCTTCGAAAAAATTATGTAAGCAGTTGTGAGCATAAGTTGTGCTTTGCTATATATCCCAAATAGCGTGGAAATTTTCTAACTCTTAAAAATTCCGAAATAAAAGAGTTTCTCAAAATTGCATTCTCCAAGGGCATCCACAATCAAGCAGTGATCTTCCCATCATGTTTGAAGAGAGGAAGACGCTCCTCGAGAAGTGTTTGTTTGTACTCTTCGTCATCGGTCCCGTGGTGTAGCGGTTAGCACTCAGGACTCTGAATCCTGCGACGGGAGTTCAAATCTCCCCGGGACCTTCTCTTTTGCCGAGCAGGTACAGAAGGTAGACATGCTGGTATCTCCCCTAGATTGAAAGAGCGTATGAGTGTGAGAGTGTGCGAGGCGAACAAGAGGCAGAGAACGCATGTGAGCGCGTGGAGCGAGAGAGGAGAGAGAATGTACGAAAGTGGGAGAGCGTGCGCATGAGCAAAACCGTGCGGTCAAAGAACCTACGTAGTTGTAGGACAGAAAATGCGATATGTATCTATATCTTTTGACCAAGTAAAAGATGGAAAATATCAGGTTGGCTAATAAATAAGTTCGTTTTGACATGCAAATTCAAAGCTTCGTAACAATTCAAGTAACAGCTATTCAGCTAAGATTTTCTCGTGAGAAGATAGCCTCAAGCCTCTACTCTTAAATATTGAATAGTCAAGTTTTGTGTTATCAAAAAAGACAGCCATAACCTTATATGGTCAGACTTCTAAAAATCGCTTTTTTGAATTTCTAATTTGTTAATTAATTTGAAGTTTTCTTTCGTTCTCAGCCTGCAGTGAGTACACAGGCGAGTAATTTGGTGGCTGGGTACATACAGCCTCTGGCTAGGTGGCGAACCACAATAGAGACTGTGATCTGCTGTTTCTGAATTTCTGCAGTCAAAATTGTGAAAATTTCCAGGCATTTGCGCGCGTAGGTCGAATTTTGGGCATTCCAGATAACTCGAATTTGACCATCTACAGCCATGCAAATGGTTGGAAATTCAAAAATCTGTGTCGGTAGCGAAATCTACACTTTACACCTGACTTCAGTTCGTTTTTTGGAGCGTGATTTTTTGAGGAAAAAATCGGACCAATTTTCTTTCCCTCATTATTTCATCATCAGAAAAGTTATTTTTGAGAAAATAGAGTTAAACTCTCGATTCTCCTTGATTCGCTCTTTCCATTGGTACCATAATTACATACAAAAACTGATTTGTGACAATTCTACAAACCGCTAAAAACGACCGAACTTATTTTTAGCCAGCCTAATAGGTCGTCAGTAACTATATACGCGCGGAAGCTGGACGCTGCAATGTATAGAGGGCGTCTTCGGATGAAACAAGCTGATACGTACGTTGTGGAACTTTTTATTAGATAGAAGAGGAGCAGCGCTGACCATCAACAGTGAATAATGGGGAACAGCCGCGAAATACGGTAATCAGGGTCCGGCATGAGTTTTCTAGGTTTCTTGAAAACGAATCCCCCTTGGCTTTCGCGAAATTTTACGAAGTCCCCTTTGACTGTCACAACTAAACGTAAAAAACCCTCAAAGAACGAAACGGGCTTGAAAAACCGCAATTTTCGGCCACAAAAATAATATCCTTTTGCCTTTTCCCCGCAAAAACGAAGTCGAGCATGCTTTTATATGATCTGCTCCGAGCTCTGGCGATAGTATTAGGTTGTAACAGAATAAATGCAGGTTTTCCATACCTCTTTTTCAAAGCGTTGGTTCAAAACAAAATTCCATTGTCTTTAGATACTATCTATACCATCTGAAAGCGCTCTTCTTCTAGTTTCTTAGTCATGCTTTCGTTTCAGGAGGACTGGGTTTATTTCGAAATTACGTGCTTTTGAAATGAAGAGGGTAAACTTTGAAATTCTTTTATTTTACACTCTTTGCTCTAAATCCACCGCAAAAAATCGGAATTTTTCGCAAATTGGCATACTGTTTGTACGTGATATGTGCTACAAAACTCACATTGAAGCAAATTTCTCAAAAGTTTCCAGACTGAGAAATCTCATTTCAAACCCAAACAACCTCTGCTATCATTCTGCGGCGTATAAAAATCCCAAATGCGAGGCGATTGCGGAACTTTCGCCTTGCGCAGAAAGAACAGACATGGAACACCTAATGGCAAAAAACTGGGAGCCTTTATTCCCTTCGGCGGCGAGAAAATTCAAAAAATAGCAAAAAAAGCACATTTTCGTCTTTTCAGAGCGCTTGTGAAGATTGAGTGATTACAAATTTTTTGCAATATTTTCCAGCAAAATTTTTTTTCGTGAAATTCAACTTTAACGCTGCTGCACAACCGACTATTGTCTACACAGTGAGTGAAGTTTGTGCCATTCTACTACATTGTATAGTGAGTTATGATCTCTCGAATTAAAGGTTTTTAAAGAAAAATTTTGGCAGTCTTCGGGCTACAAAATTTTTCTCAATCAAGCTACAACGATATGGTAGTGCGTACTAAATTGCCAAAAGTTTGCTGATTGCAGCAATTTTTATTGGAAACGGATTGACTATTTCTGTAAAAAGTTATTGTAATCCAAATTCAAAATTTGGAAAACCTGCATCAATTCTGTTACAACCTAATAGATTGAACTCTCCCGAAACTAAGCACTGAGCCCCTTTTAATCCACTGATTTGAGCGTTGCCACTGCATTGAGGCTCTTAAATGCTCACTTCCGGCAAACAACAGTATCATATAGACTGAAAATAAGCGCCAGTAAACTACCAAGCACAGTGATGGGATGATCTAACTGCTTAAGTGGTCAGTGAGCAGTAGAGTTTGTCAACTACAACTCTTTAGATAGTAAATACAGTGCTGATGTATCCATAATGATTGAAGTTGTAGATTGAGTAAGTGAGATTTGTAGGCGAAGTTTGCAATGTTGGCGCCAAGCTCACTTTCGGCATCATGATCACGCCTAACCAAGTTGTGAAGATGAAGCTGTGTACTGGAATGATTGCAGAGTTTCGAGACTTGATCACATCTTAAGAGAGCACGAGCGCGATTTCTCGAGAAATGTTTGTCTGCGCACTATCTCACCGGTCCCGTGGTGTAGCGGTTAGCACTCAGGACTCTGAATCCTGCGACGGGAGTTCAAATCTCCCCGGGACCTTGGTTTTGCTGGCATTTGCAGAGAATCGATGGACTGATACTGTCAGTACAATGAAAGCGCGTGAAAGTGGGAGAGTGCTTAAAGGCAGCGTACCCAAAATTTGAGTTACCGATTTTCCTAGATCTTTCTACAATGTGTATATACTGGGCCCAGAAGAAGACCAACTGCGTTGGTCCCAATGTTGCTTCTGAGCGGAGAAAACCCCCCTCAATTTTCTTTCAAGCCGCCCCTTTTCTTTTGCTCCGCCTCCTCCGGACGAATCCATAACAGCGTAAGCTGCAATTGCAGTTGCAGTTGCTGTTGCAACATCTGTTGCATTCGTTTTGGGTGTACGCTGCCTTTGAGGCGAAGAAGAGCAAAAAGTGCAAGAAGCACAAGAGAAAGAAAGAAAGAAGAAAGAGAGGGCAAGAGTGAGAGGGTATGCGCGTGGGGGCAGCACATACAACGCTCCTCTATTCAGCCAAGCCAAGCTTGTGCTTTAGAAAGATGTCTGTCTTCTTTACAATATATGTACGGCAAAGACTACATACAAAGCAACAATTACAAAATTTACTATTGGAAGTCACAATAGTCAATATGCGTAATCAGTCATGGCTTAAATCTGTTCTGTATCTTCGAGAAGTAATGCGCTTTATGCTCTTGCGCTTATATCCTTTAACATTCTAAAGATTTTTGACATTTCTGGACGCTTAGCTGGATCTCTTTCCCAGCACTGATACACAATTTCAGAAACACTCTTCGGTGTATCCTAAATTATATATGATTTCTCAGTGTACATCACCGATGGATCACTTACCCTCGGCATGTCCATTCTATAATTTTGTACAACGATTTTCGCTCTTGTTTGAAGTCGTGTCAGACCGGGATACGGTTCCGCTCCCTCCGCATATATTTCCCATACCAGAACTCCTAAATGTGTTTCTTAGCCTCAATTTCCCATAATCTCGTTCGATCCTGGTAATAGGCAGTGAACTAACCGAATGACCATACGTCTGTTTTGAGCGAATAAATTTTATCCTGCAGAGTTTCGGGAGCCAGCCATTTCACGGGTACCTAAACTGCCCCCTTCTTTTAGTATTCGATGGTGAATGATGCATAATGTGGTTAAACATATACTTGAAGCGACTCAAAGCTGCGCGACGCGTGCTTTGGTATTATGACGCCTTGGCAGGCTCATTGATCTATCGATAGGCAATGCTTTCATCACCACCTTTAAAGGGAGATTTGGCCGGTCATTACCTTTTCCAATGTGTCATCGTGCACTATAACTTTGTCGTCTGACATACCGAAATCCGAGATTTTTATTTCCTAAAAGCCTTGATTTTTTGCGCATTCTTCTCTGTACGCTGGACTTACATATTTCGCACTTAGGAGACAATTCCTTGCTGCGATATCCCTATGTATACATGCTTTCTTTTCCAAATAAGCAAGGCCGTCAGATGCTTCCGTGGCGAATCGTAATTTTTCCGATTGGCTAACGCTTCCTCTATGTTTTCTCAGATATGATACCAAGGACCCATCTGAAGAGAGCAGGTTTGTAGCATTGCGTCACCGGATGATGCGATACTACTCACTTGGACAAACCTCCATGACAAGCATAAGCGGATGTTCGTGCACGGCTACGCCAAGAATTTTCACCACATGTTTATGATTGTATTTTCTCATAAGTCGTGCTTCCTTCATGAATTTTAAGCGTGCATCTCGTGTTGCCTGAACAATTCGTTTGCACAAAGCTGAGTCAGCCATTGACAACCTCATTTCTCATCGTTTTTACAGCAACTTCTTGTTTCGTTTTCCCACTACCGTATTCTGCTAAATACACTTCACCAAAAGCTCCTTCGCCAAGTTTCTTGAATAGAGGAATAAAAATTAAGTCATGGATTTTGTCACATTGTTTACCTTAACGAGTACAATTGAATCATGATTGAGAAGCCATTGTGTCCTCTCTATAGGACGCCGTAAACGAGCATTTGATGCTGCTGACAGTGGTGTTTTGGTTGCTCTGCAATACAATTTTGCTATTAGCTTGGTTGAACTCATCCAAACATTCACTCACAGATGCCACGCGATAAGATCAGCAATACTTTTCTCATGATGATGCTCGAGGTAAAACGAGCCATCCGGGTCTTGGTTTATCATAAAGTGTTTAACGCCATTTTCAGTTCTACAGGAAAGTGCTAGCACAATCATTCCTATAAGAATAAGATGAATTCATGACGACAGTGTTGTCTACTATATTTCTCTCTGAGGAATCATGATGAAAGAGCCCATAGGTACGGATGAACAAAGATTTCTGGCTTATATTCGCTCAGCCTATAGGTAATCGCTGACCGTGATGCAGGTGCGTTTATTCTAACATTTCATTTTGAAAGTGACTAAATTTAGACGGGATTTAGGGCATCGAAGTTGATGTGTAGAAGATGAATATGTTGGGCACTCGCAAAAGCGACCTTTTGAGGAATGAAGCATTACGGAAACAGTGTTGTATATTCTAACAAGAAGCCAAACGCCTATCTAAAGAACTGCATACTAATGCTGATTGCTAGTAGTCACTTCTCGTTTTTCTAGAATAGAATCACGTCACCAAGCTTCGCACCGTCGCAAGTCGAATGCACTTTCCTGATGTCTGGATACATTCTGAGTGTGATGGTGGTAGCCAAGTCCACCCAACTCGGATGTACTTTAGTTCAACGCAGTATGGAATTCGACCAATTGTTCTAGCATTATTCAAAGAATGAAGATGAAAAAATCATAATATGCAATCTGTTGGCTTCATTCCAAGCGTAATCTCTTCAAGGAGAGGTTGTTAACTTCTGCAAGATGCACGCACTGTTGTGAGAAGCACTCGATTCAACATTCGTCTTTGACCGAGCTGAGTGGCAAGCAAAATTTATCTCCCAACTGGGTAGAGATGAACTATGCTGGCCATACATCTGTGCGAAAAAAGCTTTGCCAAAGTTTGCATCAGGCGAAACTATGTCCCTTGAAAGCACCGTCCACGCTAAGTTGAGGGTGTTGAGCTTTTAGCAGATTTAACAGTAGGGCCTCCTATCAAGCCAATGTCCAAGTCGCAGCGCAAAATGCCGCTTTGGCTTTGGCCATACTTTGCCCGTGTTGCCGGTGTTGAAAGTGTTGAAAGCGTTGCCAGTGTTGAAAGTGTTGAAAGTGTTGCCAGTGTTGAAAGTGTTGAAAGTGTTGAAAGTGTTGAAAGTGTTGCCGGTGTTGAAAGCGTTGAACGGAGATCATCAGTCTAGCAGTTTCATTCTTTCTTGAACGATCTCACCGGCTGGTGGATACGTTGGAAATGGAATTGGGGAATGAGAAATGAAACTGAAATGAGATGGGGAATGTTTTCGCATGCAAAAGATCCTCAAACAAACTTTTTGAAAAGTGGACGGCTTGTCTGGAATAGGAAAACGCTGCAGACCTCACTTAGGTCCTTTACTCACTAATAGCAAGCGCGGCAGGATTCCAACTAAAACACATTACTACTCAGACGTCAGCTTTCCCAAATATTGGAGATTGCCTATTCCAGACAAGCCGTCCACTTTCCAAAAAGTTTGTTTGAGGATCTTTTGCATGCGAAAACATTCCCCATCTCATTTCAGTTTCATTTCTCATTCCCCAATTCCATTTCCAACGTATTCACCAGCCGGTGAGATCGTTCGAGAAAGAATGAAATTGCTAGACTGATGATCTCCGTTCAAGACTTTCAACACTGGCAACACTTTCAACACTTTCAACACCGGCAACACTTTCAACACCGGCAACACGGGCGAAGTATGGCCAAAGCCTTTGGAAGCGAGAAAATCGCTTCGAAATAGCGAAGATGCACGAGGCCCATCTACGTCCGCCCCTCCCCATCCATGCGCGCCCATTTGTGCGCGCTCATCCAATCACCGTTCTGGAAAGCCGGTCTGTGGGTTCCCCGGAATGAGGATTTTCGGGATTTTCGTGGATCGACTTCATATTTGGAATCAGGGACATGAGAAAGGCCCGAAACGAAAAAACCTGGAAGTCGAGAATCTGGGTGGACGGTGCCTTTAAGGCCCCGGACAGACTTCACGCGATTTGATAGTCGCGACTCATTCGCCGACGTTTCCATTCATTTTCATTTCACATTCAAAAATTTCGGGCTGGAAAAGTATCACAACCGAAATGTAAGTTGATCGGCATGGAATGATGTTGTAACAGTTGTCTCGTCGCGATTCAGTCGCGACGATCAAATCGCGTGAAGTCTGTCCGGGGCCTAAGACGTTCCGAGAAGTAGATACTCGTAAAGAGAGGCCCACAGGCAGATGGAGTAGCGAAGCATATGCGTCCTTTAGGCACTTTTTCAGTCACTGGCTTCCTATGGTCGTAATGCTTCTGTCACTGCGTAGCTACAAAAGATTGACTTACCAGGTGAGTGTTCTGTTTTTCGTAGCAAGAAGTCTCCTTCTCGTTTCAGTAAAGGCTCTGCGTCCATCCTGTAGGAGAAGGTAATTAGTGGAAAGGGGGCGGTTTGGTCAAGTCTGGCACCAACCGAGGTATGAGTCCATGGTAGTATTCTGCGCCTCGAACATCGTCTGTGATAGAGACGGCGTCGTCCGTAGTAGTTCCCTGGAAGATGTCCACGTCTTCGGAGCTGAGCAGTCGGTAGTGGTAGTGCCCACTCTTTCGTCCGTGTTGGCTTCCTTCTCCTTCTTGCCTTTGACCATCGATAAAATGAAACTATCCTACGCTGGTCCTTGACTTTTTATAGTTTTGAGGGCAAGGGATTCTTGATAAGAGATTGATAACCGTATTCGAAAACATTTTAGACCATGAGTTAGTAGACAGTGAGTAAGTAAGCAATTGTATTTCTATGCAAAATTATGCGAAATTGGCGAAATTTCCTGGGAACTATGTACTGAAGAGGGCCACCAGGAAAGCTACTCTACCGGTATAGTTCTAAGGCCCGAAACCGGTTGAGTGTAAATTTCTTCTTATTTTATCTTTCAGAAATCAAACATAGATGTTAAAAACTTGTCTGAATTCATTCACTCTATTTCTCCTCTTTGAGGCTTTCCTGGATAGTATTGGGGTGTTTCATAAATTTTTACCGTTTTTACTATATTGAGTAATCATTTGGCAGAGTAAAGTAAGCTCTACAAGATAACAATAAGAAGTCTGCACAAATCGTATCCCATGTGGAGTTTCAAGCTGAAATCTGAGTGGAGTCGAAAACGATCTTTTCCGTCTAAAATCGTAACTCCGCCCCAAAGTGTCTAAAAAATTCCGGACTTATTCTGGCATATGCCTGACACAACGCACATTCGATTGCATACTTTCCGAACTGTTTCCATGGCTAAAAATAAAGAAAAAATGAATGAGATAAAATAGCAAACTCTGCCCATAGACATCTTGAGCTCCTCCCCCGCATGTGATCATATGGCTCATACATACAAAAGTACGATCATATATTTGTATCCTTTGTAGGTGCCCCAGATCTCGTGAAGTGGTAATGTTTAGGGTAAAAACGGTAAAAAATTATGAGACACCCTTTAGTAATCATTTCAAATGGCGACAATTTTCCAAGACGAATTTAGTGTTATTGTACGTGTCAATTTAGATAAAATTCTAAAAACTAAATGAGTCGTCTTTTTGCAAAAAAATCGATTCAATCGTGAGCAGCTCTTATAGCTGCCATAGACGTATTGTTTCAGTGCGAGCTTTGAATATTGATAGTGTTAGTAATATTTGCGTTCTTTATCAAGGGGCAGTCTGATACAGGTGGTTTCGTAACGATCTTTCCATGACTTTTCATTTCTACTTCCATCAATGAGCAATGAATAATGACTAATAGTACCCACAACTAATTATTTTTTATTCCAACCTCTCCAGAGCCTCGGATAACTTTATGAAATCGACAGCTGAAATACGTAATTTCGAAATGATGGAAATCTCGCACTAGGTGGTCACACTATCCCATTCTGCTATAACGTTGGTCAGCGTCGTCATTTGCGAAAAAGCATGCGTGCAACACTTTTTGTAAAAAGGCTTTTAGAAACGTAGGCTTTTAGTGTAAAACAGAAAATTTGTTTTTCAACATGGCTCATCCTCGATTTCTCTTTCTACTAGCAGAAGTCCAGAAACTTCTGACCTAAATATTCTAATGTTCGACGTGGAAACTATTAACACATATTCATTTCTCCCTTTTGGAAGATTGCAAGCTACCATTGCCACAAGCATTCATTCTTCCAAGAATGTGCCAACATCTTCGTTTGATATAAATATCCCCTGCTCTCAGATATGTCCTACAGGTGTATGTGTTGGTGAAAACATACCCTTTCGGAGTTTTATGTTAACGGTTTCGTCTGCTATATGCAGTGTAGTCAATTTCTGAAGTACAAATAACACTTAGAAGCCGAAGTAATTGGCGTTGAACGCGAGATTTAGGGAAAGTTACTTATAATTGTTCGGTATTTTTCCGCTATCCGGTCCCATTTTTTTGAAGAAGGTTACTTTTCTTATAAGAAATTTGGTCAAAACTTCACAGGATGGTGTTTGACAATGTCATATACAAATCTGACAGGTACCAATTTTTTAAATTTAATCTTTTCAAACAATTAGTCCATTTTACTCAACAGTGTCAAAAATGAGTACTAAAATTATTGAAATAATATCCTATGTTTAATGAACATATTAGATTTGCCCAAAACGGAGAAGAGGACTACTTTCATCAGGCGATGAAATACATAAGCAGCAAGCTACTTCGAACCATTAGTTAGATTCTTTTCTGGCTAAGTTCGCATGACGGAAATAATTGGAAGAGGAATATATTCTTGAGTCATTGCCGGGTGTGACCAAGAAATTTTGATGAACGTTTTGGATTTTGCTTTTATAAAAAGTCGCTTGTGAGTCGTTTCAAATGTCCTAGTACCTTCTCGAAAATAACCCAAAAGTTCAATTCCTTTCTTGGCACTTAGCAGGGGACAGCTCTTAAAAGATCTATGAGTGAAAATTTTTAGGCTGAGGCCTCGGGCAGAGTTCACGCGATTTCATGGTCGCCATTGATCGCGACAAGAAGCTGTAACAATATCATTGCATACCAATCTTCTTGCATTTCGGTTGTGGTAGTTTTCCAACAGGATTGATCGTGACTAGCTATCACAACCAAAATGCAAGAAGATCGGCTTGATCGGCAACTCGTCCTGTCTTGTAGAGATTGAATCGCGACGACCAAATCGCGCAACTCTGCCCGAGGGAAATCGCCACATCCTCGCGACTTGGCCAGATGTCTAGAGATTAAGCATGCGAGGCTCTCACAAGGGAACGATCCCAACTTAAGGTGGCGATTTGGAATGAACCGCATACCATTAGATGCGTCTTGATGAGCTGATTGCAAATCTACCTTCCTTATCTGCGACAACGTTATCTGGAAAAAGTTATGAAAGGTTAAAAACGTGAAGAAACGGGGGTTTTAGTGCATAATTTGCTTCAAAATCCAACTTAGGAGTGTATGACTAGCATGATATTGAGTGTACTGATTTCAAGGAATGCTCACACTCTAAAAAACACAAATAAATGTTTTTGAACAACTAATTTCCGAGGTATTGCGCTGTATATTTGCCAAATTTGGACTTTTCATTGCTCATAGCTTTTACCAAAGAACTTTAGTTGCTTTTTAGCTGTTCAAAAACATTTAATTGCGTTTCTTTTGAATGTGAGCATTCCGTGAAATCAGTACACTCAATATGATGCTAGTCGTGCACTTCCAAATTAAAACCCCCGTTACTTCACATTTTTTAACCTTTCATAACTTCTTCCAGATGACGTTGTCGCAGATATGGAAGGCAGATTTGGAATCAGCTCATCAAGACGCATCTAATGATATGCGGTTTATTCCAATTCGCCACCTTAAGTTGGGATCGTTCCCTTGTCAGATGCATGGGTGCGTAGATTCCGTAAATTGTAACAAACGCAGCAAGTCTGGCCCAAGCCAAGTGCGTTTACGACCAGCTATGGAGAGTCGTTGCAGTGCCAAATCGCGCGGCGACTAAAATCGCGTGAGGTATGCCTCAGGCCTAAGGCCCCGGACAGACTTCACGCGATTTGATCGTCGCAACTCAATCGCCGACATTTCCATTCATTTCCATTTCACATTCAAAAATCTCGGGCTGAAAAGTATTACAACCGAAATGCAAGTTGATCGACATGGAATGATGTTGTAACAGTTGTCTCGTCGCGATTCAGTCGCGACGATCAAATCGCGTGAAGTCTGTCCGGGGCCTAAAGCACATAATTCATGAGACTTGAAAAATGGGTTTTGATAATAAAGAAGTATTAATTGTTCAAAGAAGCCGGAACCCTTTTTGATAACCGACCTTCTAAGTCCTCTCAACTGATGTAACCTCATCATAAAAGGCCTTTTCGAGTCAAAAAGCTTCTATAGACTTATTTTTTTCCAGATAAGCGCAAGATGATGAGAAACATACTTCCGTTCTCAAGTTTAAAATGATAGCACGTTTGCACAAGTTCCACAGCGTTTTAGAAGGTACACTGAACTTGCAAGAGCTTATGAGCAATCTTTTCTTCCGCTTTATACTATTGACTTTTGAATTATGTCACCTTTTACATATTTAATGCACATGATGCACAAATATCGCAAAACGCTAACTTTCATTGCTAGCAAGCTTGGTGGACTGCCCTTCCTTTGACCTCGGCTTCCGGGTTCGCGGACCTCGTCTTCTGTAACAGATGGCCGTACAATTGACACTAGGGTGAATTTTTGGAAACAAGGTTCTGCCGCAGTTTAAAACTGCTCAAACGAGTAGAACTGAATGTAACATTTGGTTCAACTGGCTTGGCGGCTGGAAGGCGGGGCTCTGAAACCTAAGTAAAGCTGCTTGCGCCCGCGACGCAGTCTGCGTCTTCCCGTGCACGTGCTCTCTTACTGCCTAACTTGATTGGGTCACCGAGCCCCGCCTTCCCGCCAAGCCAGTTGAATCAAAGGGTACGTTGCGAAACTGAATAGGATTACACTGCATGCTATTCAAGAATCACCTGTTTTTTCGGTGCTGGGCTGGATAGTAATGTCCTTCATAGCCGCTCTTTCCTTTGGACTGCAACTTGAGCCTTTTGACCTCTTTTTCTCCACCACATAGACCTACACACCTTTCGAGGTGGTGGGGATGGTGCAGCATGCACCATGTGCACTAAATAAGGTCTCAGTGAACGATGAATGGAAAGTGGAGTTAGCTGCACTGACTCCATACTTCTCTTCGTCAAGTGCATCTCCACGTGCTGCCTTGATATTCGTAACCACGTGAGAACACATTATCAGCAATACACGAATTATTTGGTAAAGCAGCATTGAATTCCCTGAAACAGCTCCTAATTGTATCTTACCTCTCGTTCAAATGTCACTGATCTGATTTGCTTGAAATGACAATTCTATTAGGCATACTACCCTTTGATTCAATTGGCTTGGCGGCTGGAAGGAAACTTCGTGACCTAATTGCTAGGTAGTAATCAGAAAGCACGCGCGCGGGAGAAACGCAGACTGCGGCGCGGGCGATAGCGGCCTTAATTAGGTCACAAAGCCCCGCCTAACCGCCAAGCCAGTTGAACCAAAGCTTAACTATAAGTGCATTCCAGCATAGTAATTGTTATCAAAATAGGAAGGTAAGTTGAGAAGAGGTTTCAAAAAGATGATGTTTCAGCGCTTAGTAAACAG